AGAGAGAGAGAGAGAGAGAGAGAAGAAAGTTCCCAGAATCCTCATGAAAAGGCTGCATCTACAAGGAGATATCATCAGGCTATGACCTGACTGACGAGCTAGACCTCACCCCTTCACTCTTAATAGCCTCAAGTTGACACAAAATTATGTGTCCAATGAGGCTTCATGAGGCCGAAACTGGATTAATAGGTTGGACTCCACTCCTACCCTTTCATCCAGGTACAAGTTGACACAAAATTTAACCATACTTGTTTAATCTCTCTTATATCTCATACACAGATTGCCTTAAGGCACACTGTACACTCCTCCTGTCTCATTAACAAAGACAACCATTTCCAGATGGGATTATAATCACTGTCATAAAAGAAGCAAAATCACACTCACTGCCATTGAGTTGATTCTAACACATAGCTACCCTGTAAAGGGAACTCCTTTACCCTGTAAAGGATCTTAAGCCCGTAAGACTTTACAGGAGCAAACAGCTCCATCTTTCTCCCAAAGAGCATCTGGTGGGTTTGAACGGCCAACACTGATCCCACAGTGTCGCCAGGTCTGCTGAATCACAGCATGAAGGTGAGGAGTTACAACACATATTGGGAGGAAGAGGGGACACAAGTCAATCAGCCACTGATAGAATACACAGATGCATACTACACAGGGGACCCTGGTGGTTCACTAAGAAGCCCTGGTGGCACAGTGATTAAGTGCTTGGCTGCTAACGGAAAACTAGTGGTTGGAATTCATCAACTGCTTTATGGGAGAACATTTGACCATCTGTTTCCATCTAGATTTACAGCTTTGGACACCCCAGGGGGCAGTTCTGCTCCGCCCTACAGAGTCACTGTGGGTCAGACCTGACTAGATGGTGATGGATTTGGTCTGGTTAGTTAATGGTTCGGTGACAGGACTCTCACATTCCCTGAAGGAGCCTGAGGTTCAATTCCTGGTTATCGGAACTCCTAGACAGCACCTCCCATCTGTCCTGGGGTGGGGGTGGGGGTTCCATGTTGCTATGATGCTGAACAGCTCTCAGCGGAACTTCCAGACTTAGAAGGAAGACCTGGAAATCTACTACCAAACACCAGCCCATGAGAAGCCTTGGGTCCACTCTGGGCTGAGCCACAACTGATCACAGGGATGGATGATGCAGGACCGGGCAGCCTTCTGCTGTGCTTGGAGTTACCATGCATCAGGGGCCAGCTAGACGTCAGCTAATAGCTGTGTGTGCCCATAGACACGTCGTGGATGTGGACGCATTTTAGTGATGGTGCTGGTAGAGACGTTGGAAAGTCCCGTGGACTGCCTGAAGGACCAGTAAATCTGCTCTGGAAGATGGACAGCCAGCATCCTCCTTAGAAGCAGTGATGTCTACATTTCATCTCACATACTTTGGACATGTTTTCAAGAGAGATCGGTGCCTGGTCTTGGTCCTTGGACTTCGTGCGGGGTCAAGTGCGGGGCTAATGAAAATGCGACAGACCCTGAAGGGTCTCAATGAATTGATTCAGTGGCATCTAATAACAACAACGCGCAATATTCATTTTCCCGTAACACTGAAAATGTCTCTGGGCACTCCATTTACTTAGTCAGCCCTCTGCTTCCACGGGTGGGCATCTAGGCTCTCTCCAACAGATTACCCGTGTTATTTCCTAGCTTTTGCCCTTTGACTCAGCCTCAACCCACATGCAAGGGCCCCAAAGAGCTTGCAAGTAAGAGATTTTTCTGACCACGTGCCACCGTCAGCTGTTTGAACCCCTTGAATGGGGCGTTGCTCCCCGGGGACAACTTAGAAGGGACCGCTTTGTGGGGTGATGTGGAGAAGACTCCTGGGAGGCTGGACCGAAGGACGGCTGCGTTTCTGAGTGGCTAAGGCTCGGGGTGGGGGGTGGGGGCTGCCATGCAAGAGGGAGCAGGCATCCAGTGGGTGTCTTTGAGGGTTCAGTTACCCTCTGACTGTTCGGCCCCAGGAGACGGCGAGACAGTCCTTATCTCCGGCTCATGGGTCAGTCCTTGATCTCGCCACCAAAATGCCCGAATGCAGCTCTCCCTTCCCGTGGTTTCCCATCTGGAATTCTTCAGACTCTGGATCCTCCACCTCCCGACCTCCCAGGGCAGGTGGCTCGTCTGTGCTGCTGTCTCTCTTGCATTAGACGGTGTTCTTTGCTTTCTATCATGTCCTCTCTTGGAAGGTATCAGTCATGTCCTTGGAATGGCTTTCCTGGTGGTTCATCACTGGCTGGGCCCCATTGAGGGTTCTTGACTTAACCCCCACCCCCGCCCTTTGGGGAGTTCACAGCACATAGCTCCTACTTATGGGCTGATCCTACTTGTACTGAACGGTCAAGCCAAGTCCACGGCTGGAGTTGCCAGAAGAATACAATGCACACAGGCGTTCAATGAAGAGACAGGGCGAGGTCTGTTAAGTACTGGGCATCAGTCAGTCTCCCATGGCCAGTGGGTCAAACCCTGCATCAGCCAACACAGGGAGGATGGTCTGCGCAGGACAGGGACTCCATTCCCACCCCCCGCCCCCGCGCCCAGGAACAGATGCACAAGTGGAGTTGGCCAGGTGGCATAGCATGCCCAGGGTCCGTGAAGCAGAGCTGTGGGCATGTGCTCAGAGCTGGAAGGGAGGGCTGTGATGCCGGGCCCCCTGCTCCTATGGGATGTGTTTGGGGTCAAGATGCCCTGGCACAGTGATTCATTCTCGACTTTCATCCTGCCCAAGAAGCCAGACTGACACCTCTGGATCTGAGTTCAAGGTTAGCGCATAGACACGGATGGTCCCTAGTAGGGGACACTGTTTTCCTGCCTGACAATTGGTTATTGTTCTTGGGTGGGGGTGGGGAGGGGAGGAGAGTTTCCCTCATCCATGTTTCCCAGTTACCCAGAAGCCCCTGTGATCCTTCTGGGTCTTTGATGATTGTTTCTGGCTCACAAAACAGGGCATTCCCTGGATGCTGCCATCTCGACGCAACATGAGGCAAATCTGGAAGAACACGTAGGAAAGTGGCCTTTCCACACCTCATGCCATCCCTGAGCTGGAGGCTGCTGGAGTTCAGGGATAAGGGTAGGGATGAAGCGGGGTAGGTTTGGGGGTTCCAGGAATGGAGTTGGTTTGAGAAATGCCAACTCAAGAGTAGGGCTCAGAGTCAGAACAAACAGATCTGTTACCTACGTTTACTTTACCATGGAAGAGTCAAGCCTGAGTTTATTTTTCAGGTCTAGTTAAAATGTTATATAACTCACCTCCTCACCCCCACCACCATCTCACTTGCTCTAGAACCTGAGTCTAAGCCTACGTGGATAGAGGATTGGAAGGGTGGGTGAGGGAGGGAGACGGAAGAGGAGCAGGGAGAGTCCATTGAAACGCATGGTTGATCTTAGAGACCCAGTGGGGCCTGGAAGAGATGAGTCAGCCAGACAGCAGCCCCCAGAGAGGCCTTGTCTGACGTCCAGCCCACATCCTGTCTGCGCAGGCCTTGGGTCTGCGGCCCAGGTGACGGATCGGTTCATCTCGGCACCTGTCCACCCGCCGGCCTTGAAGTCTCAAGGTCAGCGTGGAACAGCTCACCTCTCTAACCCTCTGATACCATGTTCTGAGCACGAGAGGCTGCTCAACGTGGGGTTAGGGCTGTGAGGACCAGACAAAGCTCCTTTGCCGCTAACTTTGAAGTCAGGGGAGTTTTCTGGAGGAGCCCCGAGAAGAGGCAACGGAAAGGAGTCAGAAGACTTCACCTTGAGAGCCTTCGCTTGAGAGCAGCATGACTTTGAACCAGTCACAGCCCCTCCTCCTTCTCCTCCTCATTTTTCTCCAGAAACAACTCGGCCGCAGCCTTGCCCCGGGTCAGCCCCGGTCTGTGCTGTGCTTCCATTCATTCAAGCAAAACCCTTTGGGGTAGGGGGTGGGGTGGGGTCATCCTCCTTAAATGTTCCCCACTGAACCCACCTTCAGACCATGGGCAGGATCCAACCCCTTCTCTCCCCTTCAACTGCCGCCCCCACTCGTTTAAGCCATTGTCGTTTCTGGGTGATGGCAGCTCTTGCCCCAGCCACCTACTCTCCATTCTGCAGCTGCTAAGATGGGAGTCAACTCATGCCAGCCCCATGGACCCCATCTGTCAGCTTTCCTGGGAAGTCCCTCTGGTGGGGGGGGTCCTCTTAGGATCAACCCCGATGGGCAAAGCAATGGGTGCAGGGAGAAACTGAGCTGGCATGTTGCTGGTCCTCAGGGAAGCTCAGAAGCTGGCGGGGTCTTTGAGAGTTGCCCAGAATTAGCTCGAGGGGGCAGGCCCTTATATCTCCACATCAGCTAGTCATTGGACGGGTGGACCATCTCAGGAAGGGGACGTGAGACCTATGGGGAGAGAGAGAGACAGCCAAGCCCTCCCAGGGGTATTGAGTACCTCAGTCCTAAACGTAGGCCTCTGAGAAGCTACCACTCCCCCTACGGCCTGGTTTCCCTCAAATCAAAACCAACTTCGCTGCAATGCTCTATGAAGACCCGTGAGCTGCCCCCACCCCCCATTCCCCTCCCACCCACCTTCGTGTGTGTGTGTGTGTGTGTGTGTGTGTGTGACAGTGAGTGAGAGTGAGACAGTGAGTGAGTGAGTGAGTGAGTGAGTGAGTGAGACAGTGACCGAGTGAGTGAGAGAGTGAGGCAGTGAGAGAGTGAGACAGTGAGTGAGTGAGGCAATGAGAGAGTGAGGCAGTGAGAGAGTGAGACAGTGAGAGAGTGAGGCAGTGAGTGAGTGAGGCAATGAGAGAGTGAGGCAGTGAGTGAGTGAGTGAGGCAATGAGAGAGTGAGACAGTGAGTGAGTGAGGCAGTGAGTGAGTGAGGCAATGAGAGAGTGAGGCAGTGAGTGAGTGAGGCAGTGAGTGAGTGAGGCAATGAGAGAGTGAGGCAGTGAGAGAGTGAGATAGTGAGTGAGTGAGAGAGTAAGTTAGTGAGGCAGTGAGGCAGTGAGGCAGTGAGTGAGTGAGTGAGTGAGGCAGTGAGTGAGTGAGTGAGAGAGTGAGTGACTGGGAGAGTGAGTCAGTGAGTGAGTGAGACAGTGAGTGAGAGTCCCCACCGACCTTCTGTACTCCACCCTCCCACTGACCTCCCTCCTCACTGTTCCTCAAACATAGCCAGACACGGCCACCCCAGGGCCTTTGCACTGGCTATTCCCCAAGCTTGGACTGTCCCTCCATTTCCCTCAGGTCTTTGCTGAAAAGTCCCCATCTCAGAGGGAATCTTTGACCGCACGCGCTAAAGTTTTAGCCCCTCTCCCATGTTCCACACTACCCCTGCTTACCTGTTTGATATTTCCCTTCTGTATTTATCGTTACCCATCTTTAAAAATTTTTTTTCACTCATAACAACCCTACAGGGCAGGTTAGAACTGTCCACGTGAGTGTCCGAGACTGTAACTCTTTACGTGTTTACTCTCCAGGAGTGGCTGGTGGTTTCGAACTGAGGACCTTTCAATCGGTAGCCCAGATGCGTAACCACTTTGGCACCAGGACTCCTTGCTATCCATCATATTGAACATTTGACTCATTTCAACAGCCCATAGGAGCCCCGGGGGCATAGTGGGTTCCGCCATTGGGCTGGTAACCACAGAGTCAGCAATTTGAAACCACGAGCTGCTTCCCATAAAGATTCACAGCCCGGAAACCCACAGGGCCGGTTCTGCCCTGTCCTGTGGAGTCACTATGTGTCAGAAGTTGGCCTTGGGTTGTTTTAGTTTGATCATCACACACACACACACACACACACACACACACACACACACACACACACACA